TAGCCTTGTCCTGCTCCAAAATTTTCAGGCAATCTATCAAATTCTTCTTGTAACCACTTCCTGGATCTCTTTTCAGAGGTTCATAAGTGGTTAAGTCACTAAGGAGTGTCATAACTTTCTCATGATAGTATTTCTGGTTCAAAATCACTGTGCACCTTCCTTTGTCTGCTGGGAGAATGATGATGTTTTTGTCCTTGCTAAGAGTGGTAAGTGCATCCCTCTCCTCTCTACTGATGTTGGAAGGTGGTGGTTTGGCATTGCTGAGGCAGGCTGAAACTTTGATTTAAATTTTTTTTTAAACTGCTGCAGCTATTTCTTCCTGTCATGAGGGTTTCGGTGACAGAACAGTTTTTAACCACCCACTGATGAAGTGTATTCTGAAAGGTGTACGGAGACACAGACCAGTGTCACGCCCTCTAGCTCCACAGTGGGACCTAACGATGGTCTTGTGCGCTCTGATCAAAGCTCCTTTTGAACCTTTAGATCAGGTCTCACTTAGATTTCTGTCACTTAAAACAGCCCTGCTGTTAGCTCTGACGTCAGCAAAGAGAATGAGTGATTAATCTGCTCTCTCTGTTGCTCCCTCATGTCTCAGAATTCAAGCTGACGGCAGCTCAGCTGTGTTGCGTCCTAACCCTGCTTTTACCCCTAAAAGTATCACAAGCTCATTCAGATCGAGAGTGATAACCTTGGAGGGGTTTTATCTTCCTCCTCATAATTCTGAGGAGGAAGCAACATCTCACCTCCTCTGCCCCGTGCACGCGCTTTCATGCTACGTAGTGTGCACGGCCGCACAACGTCTGTTCGTGCATTACAGAGACAGCTGTATAGGACGCCCTTTATCCACTTAGTGCCTCTCACACTGGTTGTGTGAAGCTATTTCTGAAGCTTACAGATCATCTGGGCTGGACCTTCCAGAGAATCTCGGAGCGCATTCCACCAGAGGGATTTCATCCTCCACGGCTTTGCATGGAGGGATGACGGTGGAGGATATTTGTATGGCAGTTTCCTGGTCATAGCCATGTTCATTTATTCGTTTTTTGCTACGTGATGTTTCTACTTTCTCCATGACTCATTCATTTCTCAGGGTTCTGACAGAATGATTTTGCTCCGTTCATCGTTACACTGTTACAGTTCGTAACCTCTGTTGATCCTATTCACAGCAGCAGGTCTGCTATCTCAGCTTTCTTTTTCTCACCAGAGATCCTTTCTCCGTTGCGCTCCTGCGCATGGAATTACGCACACTGAAGGTTGAGTGATGAAATGTTTTTGTGCAAGCAAGTGCTCCCTATTTGTGTCTGAATGAACCCAGTGAGACATAGACTACATCCTGCTTCACCTTTAACCCACTAGCGATAGCCTTAAAGGGCGAAGCCTATACGAAATAAAACATTGGTTATGTACTGTAACCCCAGATTCTATGAGTATAGGCGCAGCCCTTTAAGCTCTGGGCCTCACTGGTTCCTAAATGGCTGAGGGAAAAAAGCTATTTGGGAGCCGATTGCCCGGTCTCACCGTAATTTATACGGACTGGGGGTGGGGCCCACACAGCCAGTGGGCGCGGACTAAAGTTTTCAGTGCTGCGCTGCGCACGAAGGAATAAACCCACTAGTGATAGCCTTAAAGGGCTGCGTCTATACTCATAGAATCTGGGGTTACAGTACATAACCAATGTTTTCCTGCATAGGTTCAGTCACCTTACAGTTTTGTTGTCGGTGTTAGCCAACATACATTTCTGTCATTTTGACCAGACAGCTTTGTCACAGACCATATATCTAAAATCTCCTGAGGTCAGTTGGCTGTGGCAGCAATCTTGAATTAGGTTGACTCCCAAAGTCAAGCGATTGTAGATCCACATCCAATGATTACGTTCTGAAAATTAAATTAAAATGCATTAATTTACTCATGAGACAACATACACACATGCAAACAATTACACACACACAGGCAAAAACATTTTCAATTATAGCAATAATAATATGCTGCTTGTTCCTTAAGCTATTTAAATAACTCAATCTGATTGTGACAATGAAGGACATATACCTCAAGGTCATATCTTGAAGCAATTATAGACATTATTAGAGACGTTAGCACTGTTGTACAGTGAGAGTAAATTTCTGCATTAGCTTTTTGCAGTCCAAAGCAAACTCTTTCTTGTTGTCAGGTTCTTCCTCAGATGATGGAGTTGTGCCATCAGATCTTGATGGAACCCTCTGCTGACCCTCGTAGGAAGGATGGAGCATTGCACTGCATTGGCGCTTTGGCTGAGCTCCTGTTGAAGGTAAGCAGGAACATATAGGCCTTTTAAGGCTGAGCTCTAGCTCAGCCTTAAAGGTCAGGTTTGGGAGTAACTTGGTAAAAGCTGGAACATACTTTTGATGTTTTTAAGCCATTGGATGAGCTGTGTTTTCTCTGTCATGTCCTACAGAAGCGGGTGTACAGGGAGCAGATGGAGTTGATGCTTCAGAACTATGTCTTCCCATTGCTTAACTCTACCATGAGTTATTTACGAGCAAGGGTAAGTTTCAACTTCGTTATTTAGCTTGTATAAGAAAAGTATAGACAGATTATGGTTGTATCACCTTTGGTAAAGGCAAAAGTAAACTTTTCTGATGCAGGTAGATAAATCATCAAGGTTGAGTCAAGTCTCTGGACTCTTTGTTGAAACTTTTTCTCTTTTACCCAAAAGTCTTCTTCAGTCAGAAGAGCTGCAAGCAAACTTTAGGTTACTGTTAACTGTTTTTGTTATTGTCCGTTTGTCATGTTATTGTCCGTTTGTCACTTTGTACTGTTGCATTTGTGTTAATTACACTCGGAATCAAATCAAATCGCCAGACACAGAGATTCACACCCCTAGTTTGTAGTCCATAGCGCTGTGTCCTTGTTTTAGACAGCCGTAACATAGTTTATTCCATCCATCCATCCATTTTCTTCCGCTTATCCGGGGTCGGGTTGTGGGGGTAGCAGCCTAAGTAGGGAGGCCCAGACTTCCCTCTCCCCAGCCACTTGGGCCAGCTCTTCCGGGGGAATCCCGAGGTGTTCCCAGGCCAGCCGAGAAACATAGTCTGTCCAGCATGTCCTGGGTCTTCCTCTGGGCCTCCTTCCGGTGGGACGTGTCCGGAACACCTCACGAGGGAGGCGTCCAGGAGGCATCCTAAACAGATGCCCAAGCCACCTCAACTGGCTCCTCCCGATGTGGAGAAGCAGTGGCTCTACTCTGAGTCCCTCCCGGATGATCGAGCTTCTCACCCTATCTCTAAAGGAGAGCCCAGACACCCTGCGGAGAAAACTCATTTCGGCCGCTTGTATCCGAGATCTCATTCTTTCGGTCACAACCCAAAGCTCGTGACCATAGATGAGGGTAGGAACGTAGATCGATCGGTAAATTGAGAGCTTTGCCTTTTGACTCAGCTCTCCCTTTACCACGACAGACCTGTATAGTGCCTGCTTTGCTGCAGACGCTGCACCTATCCGCCTATCAATCTCACGCTCCATTTTTCCCTCATTCGTGAACAATACCCCAAGATACTTGAACTCCTCCACTTGGGGTAGGACCTCCTCCCTGACCCAGAGAAGGCACTCTACCCTTTTCCGGCTCAAGACCATGGCCTCGGATTTGGAGGAACTGATCTTCATCCCGGCCGTGTTGCATTCGGCTGCGAACCGCTCCAGCGAAAGCTGTAGATCACGATCTGATGAAGCCAATAAGACCACATCATCTGCAAAAAGCAGAGACGCAATCCTAAGGCCACCAAAACGGATCCCCTCAACACCTTAGCTGCGCCTAGAAATTCTGTCCATAAAAGTTATGAACAGAATCGGTGACAAAGGGCAACCTTGGCGGAGTCCAACTCTCACTGGGAACAAGCCCGACTTACTGCCGGCGATGCGGACCAGGCTCTGACACCGGTCATACAGGGACCTAACAGCCCATATCAAAGGGCCCGGTACCCCATACTCCCAGAGTATCCCCCACAGGGTTCCCCGAGGGACGCGGTCAAACACCTTCTCCAAATCCACAAAGCACATGTAGACCGGTTGGGCAAACTCCCACACACCCTCTAGGACCCTGCTGAGGGTGTAGAGCTGGTCCTGTGTTGGACCACTGGACAAAGTTTATTGTCCTTTGCATATTTATTTCTATTTTCTAGAGACACCTTTAAGAAGTCTGGGCACTTGTGAAGCTGATGTGTGTACTGGCACAACATGCATGGAGAACTGTTGTAACCCCAGTTCTCTGAGTAGCATGAGTGAGTGTCTCACATTGGGAACGCCCCCGGTGTGACCTCATCAGAAGCTCCTTGTTACATAGTGAAAGCTGTGGAAATCATAACGGAGGCTCAGATGTCTTTGCGCAATTGGTGTTTAGTTTTATTGAACAAGCTATGACGACCAACAGAACAGAAAAAAGAACATATCCCAGCAACAACAAAGCAGTTAGATATCGGCAAAAGATAACCAAATCCTGTCAAGCCTGCTTCAAAATTAAACGCTTCCTCTTTACAAATAAATCATGCTTTACACATGTTTCACTTAACCCTTTTGTAATTATGTACAATCATGTTAAATTCAGTGAATTGTAATATTCTTGTAAATTATACTTAACAACATATAACTAAATAAGTCACAACACTCCTATTTCATTACTCCAGCCAGGATTGGCTGGAAATAAGCCTGTCAGTGTCAAGGAGGGCAGGGATCTCCCCCTCTACTGTACTGACAGTTTATTCAAGTATGTTCATCTCTTCCTCACAGCGTTAGAACAAGGAGGGTGACTTTGTGAGATACTTGCTCATGCTACTCAGAGAACCGGGGTTACGACAGTAACCTAAAGTTCTCTTTCATAGCATTTTTGGGAACAAAAATATACGGACTCCCGTATTGCTCAGAAGATTTTATGTTACCTGCCAACTATTTTCAATTTTCCTGTGCACTTTGTGCTACATTGAGTACTGAATGAGCCAGAGATGATGCCGTGATATTCAAATTCTATTCAGTTCAATTAAAAAATACTTTATTAATCCCAGAGGGAAATTAAATGTTGTTGTAACTCTTCATCCTGGTTTCATTAAAGAGTTGTTATAGATTCTGATGGCTGTGGGTAGGATGGATCTCTTGTCTTGTCTGTCTTACAGTGGATCTGAAGAAGCCTCTGACTGAAGACACTGTTGTTGTATGACAGTCTGATGAAGAGGATGCTGAGGGTTGTCTATAATGTTCTTCATTTTATGAAGAATTCTTCTTTGTACAGTCAGCTCCAAAGGTTCTAGAGGAGTTCCCAGAACTGAGCCAGCCTTCTTTATGAGCTTGTTGATCTTTTGTAAGTCACTTGCTCTGGTGCTGCTACCCCAGCAGATGATGGCAGAAGAGATAGCACTCTCTACAACAGATTTATAGAAGATATGCAGCATCTTGCTACAAACACTGAAGGACTTCAGCTTCCTCAAGAAATACAGTCTGCTCGGTCCCTTCTTGTAGACGGCTTCACTGTTGCATCTCCAGTCCAGTCTGTTGTCCAGGTGAACCCCAAGATATTTATACTTCTCCACCACCTCCACTTATTTTCCCATGATGGAAATAGGATTGGATCTGTTCCTGTTTCTCCTGAAATCTACAATCATCTCCTATGTTTTGTTCACGTTCAAGATGAGATGATTGGTTCCACACCATGCCACAAAGCGGTCCACCAGTTCCCTGTACTCAGCTTCTTGTCCATCTCTGATACACCCGACCACTGCAGAGTCATCTGAATAGTTCTGCAGATGACAGGAATCTGTATTGTACTGGAAATCTGAGGTGTACAACGTGAAAAGGAATGGTGAGAGTACAGTCCCCTATGGTGCTGCTGAGCTACTGACCACCTGGTTAGACACAATCCTTCAGTCTCACAAATTGTGGTCTGTTTGTCAGGTAGTCTTTGATCCAGGTGATTGTTGAGGCCTCCACCTGAGTCTTCTGGAATTTCTGACAAAGCAAATCAGGCTGGATTGTGTTAAATGCACTGGAGAAATCAAAGAACATGACTCTCACAGTGCTGTCTGCCTTTTCTAGATGACAGTGAGTTTGCTGAAGCAGGTGTATGTATCACGGATCTGATGGCAGAGGATCCCACACACAAACTCAGAATGGTTTTAAAATGTTTATTGAATGAATAAACAGCTTCTGATGATTCGGGTCCAGAGCTGGAACTGTGTCTAAAACGATACAGAGGAGAGGTTAGTGTTTTGACAGAATAACAACAGTTATCTGAATACAGACGGTCTGGAAAAACACTAACCTTTCTTGTTGTCGGGGGCTGCTCAGCAGAGACACAGAGCTGCAGGGACCAAGGAGAATCCAGAGGCGTAGTCGAGGACGAGCAGAGTTCATTAACGGGATCCGAAAATGCGACAGTACCAAAAGGGAGAGGCGAAGGCGAAATCCAAAAACGTGCAAAGGTCATTAACAAGGTCTGAAGGGCTGAGGTACAAAAGGGGCAGGCAAAAAG